GCTCTTCCATACTTCCTTCAGCTTGGAAAACAGAATCTGTTTTTGGAGGCACTGATCAGGCATCTGGACCACGTGACCAGTCCAGCGAAGTTGTTGGTGGATGATAACTTCAATTCTGGTCATGTTGGACTCTTCTAGGAGGCTAGTGTTCATGTGCCTGTCCTTCCAAAGGATATTTAGTATTCTCCTAAGGCAGCATTGATTATATTGTTCAAGTGCCTTCAGGTTACACTTATATGTTGTCCAGGTTTCACGTGCATACAGCAGTGCCGGAACAACCATTGTGCGGTACACAAGGAGCAGTGATCATATTGTCATCCACGTACTAGTGCTCCATGATCAAAGTTATGGAAGTTTTGCTTTTGGCCTTCAGTCTCCTGAAGTTGAAAAGCTTCCCATTTGTTCTGTAGACAATCTTCATGTCATCTGGAAGCTTGCTGTCAATGAGATGGAGGGTCATGGCAATGAAGATGCAGAACAGTGCTAGGGCAATGACGCAGCCTTGTTTGCCTTCTGTTTTGACCTCAAAGGGGTTGCTTCGGGATTCGTTGTTACTCAGCACTGTGGCAGTCATATTGTCATGAAACAGTCTCAGGATGCTGATTGATCTAGCCAATGATAGCGCTCTGTGGACCATTCTCTCAAAGATCGGTTGCCCCAAAAAATTAAACACCTTGGTCAGGTCAATGAAACTCATATATAAGGTTTAATTCTGTTCGCAATTGAGGAGTGGTGAAAATCATGTTCTTCAGAATGGTTGGAAGCCACACTGGGACTCTAGAAGAATTTCTTCTGAGAGTGGCAGGAGGCGATTGGCAAGGATTCAAGCTAAAATTTTCCCTGCTGTTGCCAGAGGGAGATGCCATGATAGTTTCCACAGTCTGATTTGTCACCCTTCTTGAAGAGACTGACAATCAGTGTGTCTCTGAACTCTTGTGGTATTTAACCACTAGGCTACTGGATATACAGGAGAGAGGTATGGTACCACCACCATGTTGCTCAGCCCAGTTCTTTTTTTTACTTTTATTTTTAAAAAGGTTAAACTACTCCAAACCTAAATGTTTTTGTTTTGGTTGAATAAAATGTAATGTTTTGATTTGCTGAAGAAATCCAAATATTTCAGTTGGATCCAGACCACTCCCACTTCACCCTTTTGACTTTTTGGACTGCCAACAAACTAAATAAATCAGTTATTCATATAGGTCTTTCATCCACTGAGATCAATGGAAGATAGCTTAAATATAGTGTCAGAAATAAAAATCATTTACACAATAAGAAAGCACTGCTTTTCAATTAAGTATTTTATGTAACTTACCCATCTCTCAAAGTATTTCTTTGAACACCTGATTACACATATCTGTGTTGGCCCATTCTTCGCTTCCTCAAGCAAACCCCACTCTAACCAAAAATTACCTGAAAACTTTACTCTGTCTATATGGAAAACAGTGCTTGCCTTTTTATTCCTATCCCCCGGATAGACATTTACAGCGTATTTCATATGCATAAGTGAAAAAAGGCTGAAAATCTTACAATTATGATTAAATGAAATTTCAGAAAATGTTATTGTAAAGCTATCCAGATTTTTCCAGCATCACATTTACATCTTTTACAAAGCTCTGGCTCATTGGATATTATTGGCATTCTGAAAGGCTCTATATTCTGTTGAAGGGTACGGAAATACTTTTCTTCTTTCAATCTCCCTCACCATTACTTGTTTATTTAATTAAAGTCCCTAATTAGCTTCCTTATATGGAAAGTTACCACAGTAAGGTTTCCTGAAACTAAGTAATGCTGATGAGTATCTGATAAACTGCTATTCCTGAAACTGAGTAATGCTGATGAGTATCTGATAAACTGCTATTGATGCTCCTAACTGGCATGTTGAATTCCTGTGCAATTACATCTCCTATACAGTATCTTATCTCAGTAGAAGCAACAGGAAGTCAGATTTCCTGAGCTCACAGGCTGCATTTGGAATAGAGCATATATATTTGACGGAAAGAGGTGGCAAGAGGAAGATTTTAAAAGCTGTGTGTATAAGGTAACAAAATTCTCCACTGTGATGTAAGATTTAAATAACTGAATTTTGCTCCAGCACACCAATGTGAACTCTGCAGAGGTGTTTCCTTTCACTTTACTCACACTGCTAAATATTTTTATTCACAAAATTTCAGAGAAAGTAGCCATGTTAGTCTGTAACTAATAACAATGTCAATGAGTATTCCTGTGGCACCTTAGAGACTAACAAAAATATACAGTATCACAATCTTTGGTGGGTAAGACCTACTTCTCATCTGATGAAGTGGGTCTTATCCATGAAAGCTCATGATCCTGTATATTTGTTAGTCTCTAAGGTGCCACAGGAGTCTGGACTATTAGTTATTTTTATTACAGCTAATCCTACTGAGCAGTTCACACTGAAGTTAGTGCTTGGTGTAAAAACAGCAGATTTTGGTCTCTCATTTTTGTCATACTCACCAGGCTAAGGGAGCCTGGGGAAATTCTGGAGATGTGCTTAGCCTCAGGGAAAGGAGTGTTACATACCACACAACTAAAAATGCAGCAACTAAAGTTTGTCACTGATAGTATAAATTCTTTCTGGCACCACCTCATTACATTCAGAACTGACAACTAAAGACCCCAGAGAGGTTAAAAATAGTTGTGAATCTTCCAGGGCACTAGAGACTCCTAGAGGATAGAATGTTAAGTAGCAATGTACATAGTGCCAAAATATTTACCTTCCAACATTTTCTGTACCATAACTTGATTTCCATCAATAGTATATTTTCCCTACTTCATAGAGGCAGAAATGGTTTCTTTTTTTTTAGATGAGAAGTTTCAACTCTGACTAAATATCAAACAGCAACAGTGCTAAAAACCATTTTCTGATTCTACAGAGACTCTGTTATTTCTTGCCAAACCTGAAATTAGCTACCTGAAACCCACTATTTAAGAAACCTGTTTGGAATTGCAAATACTCCAAATAGGTAATTCAAACTGCTCTTTAAAAAAGCACTGACTTCACCTCCTTCCAACAAAAGATTTACTTTTCAGAACAGCCTTGAAAAGGGGATAAAATGCCAAGTGTACACTGAGATGCCTGTTAAAAGTTTGAAACCACTCACCAGGCTTGGGTCCCAGAAAACCAGGTACAGTCTTCTAAACTGTTGCTGTTCTCAAACACAGACTTCTCAGGCTCTGCTCGGTTTTTGCAACTTTGAAAGATCACAGATATACTAGTCCTTAAATAGAAAAAAAATCTGATTTCCTCTAATCCATACCCATTGCCAAGGTGTTTTAGCACTTAAATAATATTATGTAGATGTGGTTCAAATAAAGAGCACAAAGTAGACAGTAAGGCTTGCAGACATCCCAGAAATAAAAGTATTGTTTTTGTTTAACTCTTGAAAAAAATCAGGTAAAAGCCTGTTGTATCTCTGCAAGGTTCATATGTGGAGAAGACAGGGTACAACAGAGTCCCTTTTAATTCATTCAGGTTGCTAGCAATGCGAGCAGCAGCAGCAAATGGTAGAGACCCAATAGTTAAAAGAGCTAAAAGCACCTCTATCTGAAACGGAACAAAGTTTCCAGAAGTCTTCTGGGGCGTTACGTGGAGGAGGGTGGGTGTCAATAGCAAATGAACAATCTAGTAACCTTTGATCGAATTAACACCGTTACTCTACAGCACTATGAGGTACAAGCTGGGTTATTTCCTCAAGGTAGAGTAAAACCAGGAAGAGAAAGATATTTGGGGAAGAAACCGCAGCAGAGCCAGTTATTAACATAGTGATAGAAATGTAGCTGTGTTAGTCTGGGATAGCTGAAGCAAAACGCAGGACAATGTAGCACTTTAAAGGCTAACAAGATGGTTTATTAGATGATGAGCTTTCGTGGGCCAGACCCACTTCCTCAGATCAAATAGTGGAAGAAAATAGTCACAACCATATATACCAAAGGATACAATTTAAAAAAATGAACACATATGACTTGTGACTATTTTCTTCCACTATTTGATCTGAGGAAGTGGGTCTGGCCCACGAAAGCTCATCATCTAATAAACCATCTTGTTAGTCTTTAAAGTGCTACATTGTCCTGCATTGTGCTTCAGTTCTTAACATCTCCCTATTGCTCTCACACACCTCTGGGAGGTGGCTGCGGTTGCTACCAGTACAAGAGGGAAACAAAGGTGTTACGGACCTGGCGGAAGAGGAAAAAAGCGGGCAACCGCTAGAGGCTTCGTAGCATGCGAGCAGCAAAGGAGATGGAGAAACACAGTCCATGACACTCACCGCCACCTGCCCCGGGCAAACACACTCCCTCACGGAGCTGCTGCTTTGCTTTGCTTTGCTTCTCCCCCGGGATGGGGCTCGCAGGAAAGGGCTGGGTGCAGTGCAAGGCGGGGGAGCGACGCCCTCTAACTAGACCCAGGCTGGGCGAGGTAAGGGAGAGGGTCTGGCTGGAGCAGAGCAAGGGCCGGGGGCAAATCCCCCTCCCCTCCAGCAAGGCAAACACACTCCCTCACGGAGCTGCTGCTTTGCTTTGCTTTGCTTCTCCCCCGGGATGGGGCTCGCAGGAAAGGGCTGGGTGCAGTGCAAGGCGGGGGAGCGACGCCCTCTAACTAGACCCAGGCTGGGCGAGGTAAGGGAGAGGGTCTGGCTGGAGCAGAGCAAGGGCCGGGGGCAAATCCCCCTCCCCTCCAGCAACC